CAGCCGGCCAGAAAACCCCCTCCGTGCGCTGCCCGCGGTTCACGGGAGGCGGGAGGGAGGCGGACGGGCCTGGCCTCGACGTCGTCGACCGCGCCGCCCGCGATGGGAAGTGCCTTATAAAGCCGCCGCCCGGACCCGCCGGCGCGACTCGTCCCCGCGCGGCTCCGAGCGCAGGCGCTCGCGGCATCCTGGGAGTGCCCCGGCAGACTCCGGACGGACCTCAGAGCCGGAGAGATCCCGACTGACTGACCCCAGTCTGGCACAGACCCGGTCCCCGCACAGACCTCGGCCGGATCCGGGCCCGGGCGGACCCCGCGGGGCGGGAGCGCGGGCGGGGGCCGAGGGCGCCCCTGGCGGCGGGGGTATGCGCGGCCCGCGGCATGGCCTCGGCGGTGTTTGAGGGCACGTCGCTGGTGAACATGTTCGTGCGCTGCTGCTGGGTGAACGGCATTCGCCGGCTCATCGTGAGCCGGCGCGGCGACGAGGAGGAGTTCTTCGAGATCCGCACCGAGTGGTCCGACCGCAGCGTGCTCTACCTGCACCGCAGCTTCGCCGACCTGCGCCGCCTGTGGCAGCGCCTCCGCGACGCCTTCCCCGAGGACCGGCCCGAGCTGGCGCACGGGCCGCTGCGGCAAGGTGCGGGGCCGTGGGGCGCTGGGACGCCGGGGCGCCGAGGATGGGGATCCCGGGGGTAAGGACGTGGGCGCGTGTGAGCTTTTAAGTAAGTGCAGGCAACGAGGCTGGGAAGTTACTTAAACCAAGACTACCACTTCTCTGCGCACCCCTCCTCCGCCCTGGCACGGGATGGGGAACACTTAGACCGTGCACCCCCAAATGAAGGGAGCACTGGAAGCCGGCCTAGGAAACCCAGTGGCATTCCCGGAGGAGGAAGGAGAACGGGTGAGAAGGGGGCCAAGCCAGCAGGACAGACGCCCCTGACCATTCCCAAGGACGAGTCTTTTCTGAGGAAGGCGTCGCCTTGCGAGGGGGCACCCAAGAATGACCAGTGGAAGTGTAGCACCCAGTGTCGGTTGGGCGCAGCCCCCTGCCCGGGGATGGTGGGCGCTTCCCCAGGATAGACAGGTAGAGGGGACCAGCGGGCGGCAGGGATGACTGGGGAGGTATTTGGGACTAGTTAACGTCAATGTCAGAACTGAGGGTAACATTGGTCAGCCTCCTCTCTGAGTTTTCCCTGGAAGGGGCTGCGCCTCTCGTGGTCTTTGGCGACAGTGGAGCCTGAGTGCAAGGTGCCACGCAGCTCTCCAACCCTCATCGGGAGGGAGCCGCCCTGCCTGCGGCTGCAGTGGACGGCCTAGAATCCCCACCCCAGGGCTGGGTCCTCATTTGGGTTTGATTAGCTCCAGCTCCTCCTCTCTGCCTTGTGCAGTGGTCCTGGCTCCCTGGACTCTTGTTCTCAGAAACTGCTGGGGCTTCCCTTTTCCTACTGCCCTGGGGTGGCTGCCCCTTGGAGGCCAGGTAGACAGAGGGAATGAACTTGAGACAGGAAGATTTGGGGGTGGAGTGGCAGGCTGGGGAGAGGGGGCCCCCTGAGAGGGCTAGGAGGGGAGAAGAGGGCAGGGAAGATTAGGTCTTTTGAGCAGGGAACCCCCCACCCGCAGTGTGACCACTTGTAGCCCTGGAAATCAGGGACACTTGCCCAGAGGCAGCTTCTCCTCTTTTGCAGTCTTCCTCTAAGCAAAACCCCCTGGAAGATTGGGTGGAAGATTCAGAATGGGAGGGTGGTCAGGTGGTGGTCTAAGTCTACTTAACCACCTGTCTGGCTGTCTGAGATAACCTCTGCTTTCCTCTGGTGACAGTCCCCCACCCACTGTATGAATTATGTGGACAATTAAGCTCAGTTCTCATGACACATCCTCTGGCAGACACATCCTTTGGAAAGCCTCCCAAAGCCAATGAGTTTGGGGCCCTGAATGAGAAGACCTGCCTTTCAGGCTTCCCTCTGCTCCCTGCATTCTCACATATATAGCTGGTAGTTTGCTGTTATTTCAAGCATGGAAGCAGTTTTCCGAGGATTCGCTATTTTTTTATCATATTTTTACTTTAACAGATGAATTCCCAAATCAGGAAAGCATCATGAAGGAACAGGGTTTACTCAGTAACTTTTTCCAGAACAAGACAGGCTGTCAACACACTGGAGGCTCTGGGCCTCACTGGTCCAGTGTCCCAGCTGAGCCGTGACCCCAGGCAGACTGGTTGCAATTGACTCCTCAGTGGGCTTATCCCCATGTGGTCCTGTACCTGCAACATCATTCCTCTTGTTTCTGTCTTTTGTGAGGATTAAAACACAAGGGAGAGGGTCTGTCTAACCACACTAAGCCCTCCATAAATGTCATCACCGTCACTGCCAGCATCAGCTGCTTCTGGCTGGGGTTGGTGGACCAGATGAGAAGAGGAATGTGGATTCAGTGCCTTGGTATGCTCAGGGGAAAGACCTGACCTGGAGCAGAAGCAAGGTGGGGAGTATGTGAGGTGCACATGCCCCAGCTCGGTCATTTTTGCATTCATGCAAATTGTGTAGGGTCCAGACATGTGGATGCACCAAGAGCATGGAAGCAAGAGATTATTGTGGAGTAAAGAAGACTTAGAAGGGATGTGACAGCTGCTGTTGAGTACCTAAAGGGGAACAAAAATCAGTAGGAGGGAGTAGACTTGAGAGTGGTAGGGTTGGCAGTGGCTGGGTGTAAGGGACTTTCTCACAGCTCAGGATGGAACTCTTGGAAATGTTGCCTTGGCAGTGGCAAGTGCTATCCAGCAGAAGCCCCCTGTAGGGCCAGCTCAGCCCATGCTGGGGGTAGTGAAAAAGGGAGCCTGGGACCTGAGGAGGGTGACCTCAAGTCCTGTCTCCATTCTAGGCTGTGGTTCTCTGGGTGGAGGCAAGCTGGTCCCTGCCTAGCACCACCTGAGTTTTGTTGTGCAATGCTGGGGAAGTCCTTTTCCTTTCATTGGTCCTTTTAAGTCTGGGGAATTGTTTGCTAAGTAAAATACATCACAGTCACATACAAAAAGATTCTGTCTTATTTCCATGCAGATTTATTATTTGCATGAAAAAATTGTCTGGATAAACTATAAACACAAAAGACAACCAGATGTGTGTATAGTACTGTCTTGGTGATGGCAGCTTTTCTCAGGATAATTCCCCATCAGATTCCCTAGTTTACATTTACTGAACTATTTCTGGGCTGCGTTAGGTTTGCACTCTCTAGTTTCATTGAAAATCTTTGTGAGGAAATCTGGGTTTATGCGCTTCTGCTGGCAGTAGGCTGGCAACTCTTGTAAATGTCTGACTATGTACCCTTTGAGGGTGTGCAAGCTTTGGCCCCCACTTGCATTCTTGAATCTGCATGCAATTCAAGGGATGCTGAGCCTTTTTCTTGGTCCCTGGAGTATTGCAGTAGGGGAGAATGTTTACATGGAGAGAACTGTGTTTTTTCTCTCTGCACACACTCTGTGGTGTTATGCTTGGCAGCCATCCATGGGCCTTGTATGTGTCACAGTGACGCATCTGCAGGGATATTTAAACCCCTATCTGGGGTGGAGGCATTTGCATACCTGTCTGGCCTTCCATTTGGGTGAGGTAGGGTGAGGCTGACCTAAGGGCTTGTCCAGCTTCCGTCCTCCAGCCTCTTTCCTTAGACTCTTGCACTTGCTACCTTAATCCTCTTCTTGATATAAGTCTGGAATACCACCTCTTCCTTCCTCATCCCGCAGCTCTGTGGGAGGGAGCTACCTGCTTCCTGGGGGATATTATCTCTGGATTACCAAGGTGTTTCCTTCTTTTTCTTCACTCTTTAACACAAGTGGGCCTGAGTCTTAATTTAAATCCCCTCTCTGCAATACCTAACCTGGTTCAGGGTTACTCTTTATTTATGTCTCTCATATCTAGAATGGTTTACAGTTTAAAACATACGCATGCAGACTTTCCCCATCGACTGAGGCTCCTGGATTTTTTAAATTCTTTTTTTTATACCACCTATTTCACCTATTTCAATTCTTATTTTTATACCGCCTTGTGATGTCTGAGTTGGCCTGGTCACTGTGACAACAGATACTGCTTCTACAGGCCATCAGGTGATCTTTGGTTCTTGGTTGCTGTGCAGTCAGCATTTTGGTTTTATTTTCAATTGTTACACCAAATATCCACTGAGTCCCTGCCACATGCCAGGCACTGTTCTAGGTGCTCGGGACATGGCAGTGAACAAAACAAACCAAGAGCATCCCTGTCTTGGTGATTGTTACTTTTTGGTTGGGAGAAATCCAATAACAAAATAAACAAGTAAAAACAAGTTAGATGATGATAAATGTTTAGAAGAAAAATAAAAAAGCAAGGAAAAGTCTATGACTTGCTAGGGGCAAAGGAGGGGTTCCTCTTTCAGATAGGGTGGCCAGGGGTGGTCTCATCGACAGGTGACCCTTGAGTAGAGACCTGAAGGAAAGGAGGAAGCAAGCCAGTGTGTGCCTAGGGTAGAGGATTCTAGGCAGAAGGGAGAACAAGTGCAAAGACCCTGGGGCCAGCATGTGCCTGTGTGTCTGAGGAGCCAGGAAGCTGTAGAGGCTGGAGTGGGGGGAGTGCTGAGCTGGGAGGTAGATGGTGGCTGGCTCTGGAGGGTTCTGACCAGAGGTGTGATTTGATCTAACTTAAATACAGCTGCTGTGCTGAGAAAGATCACAGGAGAATGGGGATCCAGGGAGGCAAGTTCTAGGGTCCCGTGCCAGGCATAACAGAGCAGGTAGGAGAATTGAGCAAACTCTGATTTGTCTTGAGGGACAGCCACAGAGGCACTGAGAGACCAGATGGTGGGCGTGAAGGAGCACTGGGGACGATCTCGGACTGTTCAGCCTGCGAAGCAGCAATTTCTGCAATGGGGAGGCCTGCAGGGCAGGAGCCCAGCTCAGAATGTAGCATGTTAGCCTTCTCTTTAGGTGAGGGCCGTGATTGCCAGCCCAAGTGCAGGGCTGACACTTGTCTTTGTTACTACAATTTGAGTACCAGGGGATTAAGGCACCTGGGATATTACCAAGAAGGACTGGACACAGATGTGACCCCCAGACTTTCACAGTCCCAACAGCTCTGAGAAAATGTATACTCCATTCCTGGGGCCTAAACTTGCTCACACTTTTCTCACCTGGACTGTCAGGGGAGAGAGAAGCTGTGTGTGAACCCAAAACACTAGGGAGAACCCTGCTTGATGCAGAACCACTGAGTTCACTTTCTTAGTGGCTAAAAGATGATCAGTGGGTATGCTGGGCCCAGGCAGCAGAGTGGGGGCACAGAGACACCATCTCTGCCGGGACAAGTGGGCACTTGTAGGTGGGGTGCTGAGTGGGCCCGCCCCTCATCTCTGTCGTGGCCCAAGCACCGTGCAAGGCTTCACCTGGGGCATCCTGCTCCTCCCAGCAGGGGCAGCTTTCACCTCTCAGGGGATTTGCACAGTCTGTCCTGATTCACAGGCCTGTTTCTGACTCTCTTCCATATATAGGGCTCTTGATCTGGGATGGTGTGCTGTCCCTGTCCTGGGGACATCTTGCTGGGGCTGATGACAGGACCACCCACTAGCACACAGCCTCCTCTTCCTCTTTCTTCCTTCTGGTTGGTTTTTCTTTCCCAAATCCACACC